CCCCCCCTTTTTCCCTTATTTTTTTGGGATGGCCCCCCCTCGAAAGCCATTTTTTTTCGCATGGGCCCCCCCTAAATCCCACCAGCCCCCCCTACCTTATAAAAAATGAACGGTCCCTAAGGTGTCCCCTGTGCTTTAGTTTATAAAAGTTATATAAAGCAGGCAACTTCTTTCTCCAAATTAAGGGAAGAACTTTAAGTTATGGTTTCCATATTATATTGAAAACATCCCCTCAGTAAGTGAAAGAATACATGTAAGTTCTACTGTTCTGCTTTATTCAAGTTAGATAATATCGCATTTGCAAATTCTGCAGACAGTGTGAACAGGTTAACACAAATCAAGACAAGTACTTTTTATACCCTTAAGCAGTTAACTGGTTATTTTTCTGCCAGTTGGGCTACAAAAATGTTCTACCCATATAAAATATATTTGTGTAGTAATCACGGCTTCACAAACCCCGCATATATCAAGTGGCCATTTTTGTGTAACATTGTCGATGAACTTCTTCTCTATTGTCTGTTTTGCTGGTTTTCACGTGGTGCCGTCAATATTTTACAACTTCTAAATTGGACTGTTATCTATGTTTTATCAAAATTTTTGATATTTCTCATCTCAGATGATAAGCTGAAATGTTCGTGATAAGTTCTGCCTTATATTTTCTTACAATTTTTAATAACAGCTTCCTTATTGTCTCAAGACGAGAACCCGAAAGGTCTCTCTTCCTCCGACGAGTCTTGTTGTTTAGTTTTATTCATGTTCATTGTTGTACTGCTTAATACTGTCCTTCTGAAAGGCAGTTTAAAGCCAATGTTTGGTAAACTGTTTTTTACTCTCTCGATAATCTCTACAGATCTTGATGCTCTTACTTTGTTACTTCTCGTATCGTTTAATGTCAGTTGTGAAAATTTCAGCTGTCGCGATCTTTTTTCATAACCAAGTCTTGGGAGTTACGATGGTACACTTTATTATTGACGCAAAGATCGTACACACCAGGCGTTCGAAGGGCTATTTAGTTGGGCTTCTTGTGCATTTAATATATTTAGGGATGTCTTTTGCGATTTAGAAACAGCCGATAGTGTTATTATTTTTACATTATTTTCTCATGTTGTAGCTTTTTTTTTAATATAAACGAAAATCTGGTAGAGAACATCAGAGATTGGGTAAAAGTTGAGCAAAAATGGCAAACAAGCCAGAGCTTAATATTAACGATACCATGAAACCAAATAGTAAAACAAGTTTCACTGATCGCTGAATGACATTTACTTTGTGAACTTGAGTGACACAGAAAATTAATTTTTAAAGCGATATTGAATAATCAGCTAAACAAAGCTTTTTATGTATACAATAGGCGGCTTGCCGTTACTTCAGAAGAAAACGTAAAATCTAAAAACTGCCAAATAGCTCTGACTTCAGTTTGCCGATGGGTGAATTTTAAAGCAAATGAAATCAAACTAAAATCTAACATTTTAAAACAAGAAGACGTCTCTTTTCTTGTTCAGTCTTACAGTTTATAAGTGACACGCCTGTGAACTAGCTAGGTGTAGTTGAGCGCATTGCCTACCTAATAAACAACAACATTTTTTTGAACCCCAAGCTGTATAAGTTCAGTGTAATAGTTTTCTGATGGGAGTAACCTTCTCCGGCCCGTTCAGTTTTTGTTTGAGCTGATTCCCTTTTTCCTGTGAAGTATTAGCCATCTGTCCAGGTCCCAATGACAAATCTTGTGTCACAGTCCTTGTTTTCCAACGGCTGTCAGCGTTCAGTTTTAATCAATAGACAAAACAAAAGACCGATTCTTGAATTTTCCATATTTGGTTTATCCACCCCCTGTACAAGTTTCATCTTTAAAAATTTAAGAGAGTTTTATTATGATCAAAAACTGTTATAACATGCATGCGGAACCATTCAAAAACAAGACTAGTACAGAAAATCAATATCGAGGCTTTGTCTCCTCAGTGCGTCTTCAAGAGATTACCCCAATTTATCGTCGTGTACTATACGCAGTATGTGACGACCTTCCCGAGCAAGTAGAAGCACAAACATACCTTTTACTCCCTTTATTTGGTGTAAATAAACCTTGAAAATAAATGAAACCTGACTTTTTTACCCAAGCAAACGCTTGCGACAAAACGAAGTATTTAACAAATATTGTTTAATCACCTTGCTAGCATAATTCACTACCAAGAGCGCCGAAATTTAAAGGTTCTGATAAATCTCCTATTTCATTTTGCTTAATACAAACTGATGCGCGTGAAAGCAGCGGTCGATACTACTTTCACCGGATTGAAAACAGACTAACATTGAGTTATCGGAATCCACACTCGGCACCGGTTTGTGCGATTCAGTGAAGCCCTCCAGAGTCCCCCGAAATGCAGAATGCAAACCGGGAAATCTTATGACTCAGTGTTTCGCCTTGGGCTTAAAGATGGCGAAAATTAGGCTTACCATTCTGATTGTTAGTATTCTTGCCCAAGGAACACACTTAAAAGTTCTAAGACTATAGCTGGTCCTATCAGTTGTCTAGGTGGGTAGTGGGTCACCTGTGGTTAGCTAAGCTCTCATCTACACGGAGTTACACAGCTACTCCTGGTTTGCGGATCATTACTAAGGCGTTTTTTGTCTTGTAATTAATGGTCGTTGCATAAGAACTTGTTTTTCTTATGAATACCTCATTAAACTCAGTTTCTGATGATAACGCTTTTTTTTACTATTCTGATATCAGTCAAACTTTCAGAACCGGATTCGGTCTGTTTGGTGGTTCTCCATCGTGATTTAATCAGAGATCGATTCCAAAAACAAAACTTCCTAAGAATACAACTCTAAGAATCAAACTACATTAAATTTTTCCAGTCGACTGACACAGAGGGAGAGCAAAATCTTTTTCTAGAAAGCGAGACCTTTTAAGATCTATTACATGCACTGAATAACGTTGTTCAAGAAAAACGGGATTTGGTTAGAGTTAGAGGTTTCAGATGGCCGAATTCGGAAAAACAAGCCCACTGCAAAATACTCTATTATCATTTAGCATGAAAGTAAATACAAAAACAGATAATTATAATCGCAGTTATTGATAAGCACTTCCAGGAAAGCTCACTTCTTCTAATGGAAATCTTTTGTTTTAATCACCCAGTCATATTGAAAGAAACGCGTGGGTTAGAAAAATTACAGCTGAGTTTTTGGTTAAAGGTAAAGACGATTCCAGACATAAGAGAAATGAATAAATGTTAATTGTTCTTACTTCCTGCCCAAGAAAATTCTGAATTATTGGCAAAACATTAAACTAAAACTATAATTTAAAGCGATGAAATCGAGGTAGCTACAAGCAGTTATTATGATTTCATCGCCTAAGAGCGAAGTTAAGATCAATCTTAGTTCAGTTTCCCTTACATTGCATTCTTATTACTATTCTGGTTATTACATGTTGTTTTTTAATATTCGTTTACAACTTATATTAGTATCACCATAAATTTTCCAAGCAAATTAGTTCTTTGTGGTTTATTGACAGCATTCATTATGTACAGTCGTGAAGCCGCTGGGACTACGAAGAAAATGAAGAAATAAGGAAAATATTTTACTAGACAATCCGCCATTCCATTGACAAGGTCTCAACTGTTATCTGAAAAGATTGGCCAGTCGTTTCATCACGTCTTGTCAGTGAAACAAGACTGAAATGAATTTTATCCATCGGAAGGGAGATACTATAATTATTCATTAAAAACGAGAACAAGACACTTCTATCAAGCCTTGCTTCCTCAAAAAATAAACGCTTTCCATTAGAAATACTTATATCCCTTTGTGTGATTTACTGCCGATATCACGAATACTGAGCGTTCGCTGATTACTTCATTAGATGAAAAAAGCTTTAAGTAATAAACGGTGTTCAAATCTGATATTTGACAAAACATATTTTGATAATAGTGGCCTACAAATTTATATTCATATCAGGAAAAGGTAAATTAAGTCAGAAACAACAAATTGGTTTAGCGATCTGGATTTTTTTTTTTCTTTTCGAATAAACGGATGTTATAATTTCGAAGTTTCATTCTCGAAGTTTGATCTTTCATTCCTACCAATGGTTTCTGCAAGGTGGCTAACTCTGATGTTTTATTTAGTTCACCGAAGTCATAATAAATTTCTAATTGCTGTTCCAAGGTTCCTCAACGATGGGATGAATATCCATTATCGAAGAACTTAACAACCCACGATCAAGCCTCTGGACAGTAAAAACAGGAAGATCCCTTCTTTATGATATTTTTTATCTTAATCCATTTTAACAGATTGAAGAGATCACTGATAAGACAGCAGAATTTTTACGGTTACAATATTAATTTCCTCTTCAGCAATCTCAGTTCCGTAAAAGCTAAGGATAAAAAAAAGTCACGCCGTAATAAAATCGACTTCCTGAGAACATTTAGCCAACGTGAATCTACTCTAATTAGCTTGTACTAACACACATTCACGTGCGTGCGCTTGGAAGCCTAAGTAATTAGCCTTCGAAGGAGAAGTAAATGGATGTGGTTTGATTTATTCGAACAAATCAAACCACTTCCATTCATACTTGAATCATTCCGTATTTTTCCGTATTTTCGTGCAAGGTTTACCGCATTCCAAACTTATATACTTCGTTTCTTACGGCATTATTTCTCTAGTGATAAAACCAAAAGAGGCCAGATTGTGATTACAGGCAACAAAATGTTAGAAATAAAACTTAAAGAATACGAGTGACACCGCATTGAATGCACCCACAAAAGGCCTGGCAAACAGTCACTGAGCCCGCAACACCGTAACCCAAAAAATCTACATAACTTGGAGTCAAGTCGTTAGTGGTTCGCGGTTTATTAAATTTTGAGTTGATTTCTCTTTCTTTTTTTTCACGTTTGACTGTAACATGTAATATTTCAAGTGCTCATCGATACGTATCAATAATAGGAAGTAACGGTATCTTCAAGTGGCTTATGGTAGGAGCGATTCGTTAGGACTTCTCAAGGCTTTTTTCTGAGCGACTGGTGAATTTTTTGACCGGATACAAATACTGTTTCCTAATCAAATTATTGCTTTGTTCAAGCTACTTAAAATGATGTTAACCGGTAGAATATTAAGACAAAAGACGCTGTGATCTTATCAACACAAGGACTCTTATAAGAACTGAAAGCCTCTCGTGCTAAACAGTCAAACCGTGTATCGGCTTTTGACACACTTGGGATAAATTCTGACTTCGAAAGACTTTTCAGTCCTTCACATGCCGCAAAGGTACGTACTCAATTAGATCATATTTATTGGCACTTTTTCCTATTTACAGCTCATTGTTAATGACAGGACGAGGCCTTACTGACAAGCGATATACCAGTAAGGACTTTGATCGAGTATCATATTCATCTTCACGGTTGATATAACCAAAAACTCTTGAAGTAATTGATTCATGTCTCGATGGTCCAGTTCCTTCCTATTCTATGCCGCGTATACAACCTTTGTCAACAATAACTCTTTAACATTTCAATAAATTATATTCTCTGTCACTGTTCAAATCTATAGACTCTTTTGTTTGAAAACTTGTTTATCATTTTTATCATACCTCTTTGGAAAACTTTCCATCGGTAAACTACCATAAAACATAGTCATTGCCAGCACTGTAAGAGAGTGATTAAGCTCGATACTGTGGATAATTTCAGATCACTTTGTTATACTAGTCAGTCAGACACGCGTCAGAGTTATTTCCGGAAAATTGTGCCGGCATTTTTCGCATTATTTTTTTTACCGCGCGAACAAATGGAAGCCAAAGTGGAATATGCTATACCTTATGAATTCTCAAATCCCAGAAAAATGTACCAGTATAAAACAACGATGATTTGATGGGTCAGGAAGTAGGTTTGATTTCCGCTGCTCTCTTGAGGAGTGCGGACTCCTTCCCCCGAAGAGCGGTTCGTAATCGAGCCTATGTGGGACGATATCTCGAAGTTTATTCTAATAAACATGAAAATGCAAATCACACAAATTATTGTCTGAAAAGTTTAAATTCAACTGACGGCAGCTAGCAGCTTAGAGCTTGACTCCATTTAGGTAGCTAGACGACCGGATTTCCACACAACCCAGCTCGAGTAAACGACCTACAAAGTCAACGAATCATCACGAAATTGTGCTGGATCTATTGTTATAACCCTCGTGGCTCTTTTCAGGCCTCCTTGCCACTATCTACCTGGATTTTACTTCATGAATGGCGAAGAAGTAAAGAAATAAACCACTAAAGCAATAATAGTAATTTTACAGAAGGCTAGTAATATAGTACAAAGCATACCAGTAAAGTAATTTGCTACTTTTAAGCTAATAATTAGCACAAATACTGCTCGTTTGCCAAATGATACCAATTCAAGAACTAGCACGAGCGATTACCTTTAGTTTAGCAGTCTGTTGTGAATAACTGTGAGTCTTTTCCTTCATCTCCTAGCAAGATGAAACTCTTGTTAATTCTCCTACATGTTTCTCAACTATGGGCTACCTCATCTGCAGAGCTGACGGCCGAAGCAGCAAGAAAGGGCAAACATATGCTATTGGGAGCCGACGCCCTTCTTGACATGAAACGAGATACAGGGTGGGTGGGAGATGCTATCTCTGATGCACGTATGCCACCTGGTTTGTACAGAGCCCCTGGCTTTCAGGGTGGAAAAAGAGATACTGCCTCTGATGCACGTATGCCACCTGGTTTGTACAGAGCCCCTGGCTTTCAGGGTGGAAACTAGAGATAAATGAAAATCCTTTTCTACAGCAGAAAACCATCTTAACCCTAACCCTGACCCCTAAAGTGCTGATTGATTGATTGTTAATTGGGAATGCAATAGGCCTTAACGACTTGATTTAAATTCAAGCGCTTTTAATTGATACAGTCGTTTTGAACTTGGAATATCTTTTAACTTCAAATATATATTCAAATATATCTTTTAACATTCTAGAAAGGTTTAAGAGTTAATAGACATATTGAGGAACTTCCGAATAAAGCTATCATTTGCAAAGTCTAAAATTGTGTCTTCACTTTTCCGTTTGCATGAGGTGTACAGTAGCAGAGGTTATATCGTAGTAATGCTGCGCACTGTACCAAGATAGATTACATCACATTTCAAGCAAACAACGACTGCGTACTATTGGCAGTCCAACCCCGGCGTACAAAACGATACTGAATGACACTATAGAAGTCTTAGTTGGTACGCAAGGATCTTGCAGAGCCGCTGTCAGCCTTTTTCCCAGCCTCTCTGTACTTCTTATCGAATTCCAGGCAGGAAGAAAAGAGACACTGGGACGGGTGTTGAGCCGCAATGACAGTACATCATGTCTGCTAGTTAAACCTTCGCAGGAAGTCGAGAAATTTTTAGCGGCGGCTTGCGAGTTACCAATTAACACGCTTGCACTGCATTTCAAAAAGCACTATTTGGTCCTCACCCAGAACTTGAATAGATGGCTTACAGCCAGACGTCCTCGTGTTTGAGCCATCTGTTCTGACGAATCGAATGGCACAGAACAAGAGGTAATTGTTATTCTTTAATCCCCAAAACAGAATCAGGTATTCCAGACAGTTTACATGTAATTGTCGGGTAAAATGATGAGTATACTTTCGTAGAAACTCTTATTCTTCGGCCATTTCAGCTTGAGTAAAAATAGAAAACAAACTGCTGACACAAACTTAACAAAACTATACTTTCCTCCGTTATCCAAGGTCTAACTGTCCTTATAGAAGCCCATCATATTTTGCTGCCTTCTAACCAACTCTTTCTATTCGAAGGGTACATGCACGTTTCGGGTCTCATCAAAAGTTTGAGGCAGGGAGGCTATTAACTTGCGAAATCACAGAAACATATCGTTCGGAACTGCTCAAGAACGCTATTTCTCCATACAATGACCTCAGAGCCGAATAGTCACCAATGGTCAATTCAAATTTCGTGACGTCGTTCGCGCGCAGCGCTACTAAACACTTATTTGATTATTTGGTCATGATAAAAAAATAGTTGGTCATATGATAAGACAGACATTAAAAGAATTGCCCATAATAAAGACACAAAAGTTATTCGGCCAAATGACAAAACACGCATGGAGAGAATTGATCACACAAAGGAGCCCATCACTAGGAGCGTGCAACTGCCACACTAAGCCTTTGTCATGGCATTTTTACAGACCGTTCTATTTTAACGCTTCTTTTCCCGCAAAACAGGTCAGTTCCGGTCTACATGACCGCGCATCGGTAAAGAAAAAAATGGCGGCCTCAGGTGGAAATGCATGATGACTTCATGCTTGTGATATGGTGACTGAGGTACCTGCGGGGGTCTGAATTCGCAGTAAATTCAAACTAAAAATAGATCGGTCTGTGAAAACGCTGTGACAGGAATATGGGGTAGTTGTACGCTCCTAGTGATGGGCTCCTGTAACAGGGAGTCTCTACATTAAGGCTGTGATGTTCAGCCTACCAATCATAAATTCCTATGGTGACTAATGGACGAATTCGATTTGTTACACCCGCTTCCAGTGTTACGTCCATAGGCGACATCTTTCGACCATCTCTCGACATTCCATCTTTCGACATGCTATGTAAACGGCTGAAAGACCGTTTACCTGTGAAACTGGCAATTTTTCCGGTTATTAGCGGAACAACTGACAAATATATGATAATTACTGACCTCAAATGAATGATGAAGGTCGTGGACTCCCGATTTACGGGATAATTCAAACGATTTTAGTGTAGTCGACCGGCTCTCAATAGTGACTTCCGGTAGAGTTGGGCTGCTACCGCTCAGCTAATATTCGAAAGATGTAAACATTCAAAACAGTCGATTTATCTCTCACAGAATGACTTCTTGATACTCCTAGCCTTAGTTTGATCTCAAATAAGTCCATCTTCCATGACTAAAAGTCGAGTTCGACCGTAAAGAAGTCAGTTGTGCTTACATTTTGACGTAGGCCAGGTTACATAGCTGTCGAAAGATGGCGTGTCGAAAGATAGTTGCTATGCACGTAACACTGAAAGCGGGTGTAATATTATTGAGTAAGCCTGTGGGGTCAATATGGCTGAATATTGGCCAAGATTTTTTCTTGCGTATTTATGAACCGAGAGCTGTTCGAGGTTCATAATGATGCAGATAGGCCAGTATCCAACCATCTTGACCGCTTGACCGAGAAAACGTGGTCAGCAAAGGATTTGTCATATAGCATAATGCACACCATTTTCTTTGCGGATAACAGTGGGTAGTCCTAGGAGGGCAAGATAACTCCATATCGTCCACGGAGCTTGCGGAACTAGCCATATAATAAGTTATTTTAGCGTGGGCGCACCTTGCAAAGTAGGCCGGGCATCGTTGACACTAATGCACTCCGTTTTCGAAAGGATGCATTTTCATCACTGACGCGTTTTCGCCTAAAACGCTTCCCTCAACACGAGTGCTTTCGCAGCGTTTTTACCGTCCACAATAAAACGCCTGGAAACGCTGATATATAAGAAAACGCCACAACTGTTTCATGAGCACATAATGACGTAAGCGTCTTCGAAAGCCTCCGTTTTCGCTACTCCGAATTCGTGTCTTCACTTGCAGAGTTTCAAATGCATTCGTACTCGATGAAAGCGATGAGCATTTTCGATCGTTTTAATGTAGAAGGTGGGCGAAAAAGTGTCAAAAAGTATACAGACGAGCTTTTATGGACACTATCGTGGCATGCCTTTTCTGTTGAAAACAGCACTGAAGTTATGACCTTTGAAGGTACACTCAATGAGTAGAATTGTACTGGTGTGCCACTGCTTACTAGTGCAAATGCGGCAATCTTGCTAAGCTATCGTCAACAATCAGCCATTCATGAACAGAAGTTGTAAGTTATCAACAGAATGACGCCTTCTTTCGCTTTTCTGACTTTTCGGAGGAAGACCTAGAAATATTTAACAATTATTCGCTGAAGTTGAAGAGAACATTGTGAATATTTACCGAGACAAAGTAGAGGTACAGATTCGTTAATGTTACCAGAGGCAAATAATTATTTTAGTGTAATTTCTAGTATTCATGTATGCAGCCGTAGTTTTAATATTAAATAAGTTTACATGTACATCCATTGTGAATCAATTTACGCATCGAGTTAAGAAACAAAACAAACAAGGGAAACACTACGAAAAATAAATTCATCCGGCACCTTTGTTTTATCATTTTTGATTTCATTCACCGTTGAACGCAACAAGTCAAGGTGAATTTTTCTTTTGCCCAAAAACGTGTCTGCGAATGGTTTGTTTCGAAATATTTTTGTAGAATCATTCCATGTTATTTTATCCTTGTCGAAAATGTTCTGTAACTTGTCGCTAGATAGAATATGGCAAGACTCAGACGTTTTTTTATAAGCTTTAATTTGATATAGGGGTTTAGGTATTTACAGTTTGAACCGAAAGCGTACATCGTTTGGATGGGAGACACCTCTTAAAGCTGTAAAGGCATACATTAACCTTAAATGCGTTAATTGAATACGAGTTGTTGAAAACATTTTTGTTCCGAGGGTGACAGTAGTCATTTTGAAAGTTCTCCATGCTTTCAAATATCCTGAACTTGAAGTAATGACTTTCGAATAAAAGAAAATTTCATTCACAATGGTCCGCCATGTTTACTTGCCAAGGTGGAACAGGTGGCGAGCTTAGTAACCAAGCTTAGAAATGTTATACTCACCGCTCCGCCTGGTGCGGTGAATATGGCGTCAAAAGTCAAGTTTTTCGACCAATGAGAATGCCCAATTTTTATATTCACCTCTGGAAATTATACTAATTCTGGATAATTTAATTTTAGAGAGCATTCTTAATTATTTTTTTCGTCACGCAACTTGAAAACGTTATTCGCTCTTGATTTCTGTAAGGTGACAGTTTAGCGGCCTTCGGGCCTCATCAACTATCTAGTTGTTAACTACAACATCATGATCAACTATCAAGTTGTTAATTATAACATCACGATAAAGATATCATGTGAATCGTTGAATGGAGAACAAAGCGCAATAAAGTTTTAGCGATTATTTTCCAAGACAGTACGACAGAGTTTGAAAAAGTATGTCATTAATGGTAGCCATTTCATGACTTCGATATCGCACGTATCTAGTGAGTTTTTTTTTTTAGAAAAATAACCCAGTATTTTCAGGTTTAAATTCATAGATATATTTACTTTGGGTTTTGACTTTTTGGCGTCACGTTCTTAATAGTGCCCCTTTAAGGATATTCCCTGTCAACGGACGTCTAGTAGATAGAACTTTAGGTTGTCTGCCGGGTTACAAGAGACCGTCTGACAGCTTCTGACTGTACAGACAGCTTGATGATCGAGCATCACCGATTCAATGCTCCACAAAAGGCCTTAGCTAAGGTCAAAGTCTCTGAGGCTACCAGCTTGAAACGTGAATTAACAGATACATTATTTTTTTATGATTTCAACGAGACTGTTCTTTTGGGGGACTTCGCATTTCACAATAATTCAGATTCATGGCAAAGTTTGATCATAATCCGTCTACGATACAGATGCACATTTTAAAGAGCGAATGAAATAGGAAATGAAGCTCAGTTTATATCGAAAATCACATCAGTAACTTTCAGCTGGACACGGAGAGAAAACTATACAACACTACTGCAAATCGAAATAAATAAGGCCGTTCCAGTTCTCCATCGCATTTACTCTTTTATTTCTTAATTCCCATGGCGAAGGACGATCAAAGTGACGTCCCGCCTTCAGCAGCTGTCCTCTATTGGACACTTTCAGAGCGGTTAATTCACAGCTATTGTTTTACAAAGCGAAGTGGTATCGCTTAGTTGATGAGTAATGCAATCAAATAACAATTTTTAGCCTGTTTTATGACGGCGGCAAACATCTTTTAAGTTGTTTGATTTGAAGCTTAAAAACTTCAATACCGGCTCCTTGGCTTTGTGAGTAAACTCAACTCATTATCACAACTTTCCTCTCGTATATAATTTTACTTTAGTTCACCGTATGTTTCATATCTTCCCTGCTGGGGCTGTTTGGTCTCTGCTTGATCATAAAATCGATGATTTGGATGAAATTTTAGCTGGCAGTGGAATTAACTCAAAATACCGGTCGCCGTTTTTGTTTTGGGATAGTCAACGAGTACCGTCGATAAGCTAACAGCGCGGGAAAAAACGCAGAGGGTCAGTCTTTCCCCGCCCTTATTTTCTCTCTTTTCTACACGATCAATTGATAAAACATATATTCTTCACTGTTGTGAGAGCGCTGAGTTCTTGCCACTCTTTTGCGTCTGGAAATAACTGTGCGAAGCTTGTGTATGTGTTTGACAGACACTTCCACTGATTTAAGAATAAAGTAAATTTTATTTTAGTCGGTTCAACTCCACGTATTAGAAATTATAACATAAACTTAATGCGTCGAAAGAGTCTTGGAAATACGTTGGAACAGACTGATTTCTTAAATTATTAATTATAGTAATATCAAGTTAATATAATTCCTCGATTAAGCGACCATTACTCGAGCAAGCACACCGTCTTGTAGGATCATGAGGTTGAAAATATAAACCCACTACTTTACTCAAAAAGCAGTCAAAAAGGACGAGCACAACAAACGGGCCGAATTATTCCAGGTACCTTTACAAAAAAAAAAAAGTATTAAAATTTATGAAAGGCAAGTCTAAAAATTGTAATAAGCAACGTGGGCGCTTAATCGAGGAAATACATCACTACAATTTATTGAATATTTACTGATTTGCCCTGCTTGACTTTAATATCCTGAAGATTTCCCATTAAAACAGTTTATACTCGGAAACGTAGCCCCGTTTGAATACTCCATCAAATTTTACTTTAATATTGTTTAAAGATGCTTCCAAACTCTGACAACAAAAGGATTAGAGCGGTGGATGGAAAGTTAAACAAATTGAACAGGAAACATGCTCAGCGCAGTTTCGGTTTAAAAACAGAACCTACACAACTGCAACAAACCATTTCAGGTCAAGCCATCAACGCCAGAGCACCTTGACTCCATCACACTGAACAAAACATGCAGAAACGTCTGGCGATTTTACTTGTCCTTGCGCTGGTAGTCGCCGTTGCTAACTTTCCAACAGCACAAGGGTTTTCAGGCGGAACTGGAACCTGGAAAAGAGCTTTGCAGGTAGGCTTGAACTTCTATATTCCTTGGCAATTCGTTTACCGTCTTCTGTGAAAACAGCAAACGGTCACCAAGTTGCCGTTTGTCACACCTGTCTCAGATTTGACTTCAAGAAAATGGCCCTCTTAACATAAAATACGAAATAATTTTTAATTAAGATTCCAAGACCAAACAGGAAAAAAAAAGAAAACATTCTGGGGAACTAAAACCGTTGGAGCGATCTGTGTCTATTATTAAAATTTAAAAATTTAAAAAAGGAGTGAATTGTTTCTTTGAGCTAGGCTATGTAACAAAGAAGAAAAACCAAACAAATTAAACAATAGTTAGATGACATGTAGTTAGAGCAGGAAAGTCATAGAGGTTAGTTACTTTTATCTATTGGCTGCGCCTGCCTACTTTCACAGTTCCTCTGTAAGTCCCACATTTTCTTCTCACGGGTTCATGAATTGCTCAGGACTCGTCTTTGGGAAAACAATTCCTGAAAGTGAATTAACATACGAATTCAAGTTTACCCAGGCCAGGGAGAATTGAAAATTAAACAGAAAACTTTTAAATTCCTTACTTTTAATCATCAATGGAACGATATGTGTCAGTTTTATTCATAATTTTCGTTTTAGTGCATGTCGACATTTCAAAATTTTCCACCCTCAAAGCTCATTGAGCTCTTCAACTTTTGCTTTGTATGTTGTCTTCTTTTTATTGATTCTCAGAATCATGAAGATTTTTGAATCATTCGCAAATCATGAAAATTTGTGTTGATTCAAAAAGGAATCAGAACTGCTTGCTTATAAAAATTATGAGGGTAGACAGCAATGATCATTAAGAACGAATTATCCCGCTAAATCATCTTGCCTATGTCTATTAATGACGAATATAGCAAATCGAAAGATAAGGCAAACACGAAACAAAAAAGGTGAAAACGAGAGCTGCCTAAATTGTACAAAACTGAGTCTCATCAGTTAATATTTCAGTGCGCATTTGTCCTGGATTTCGGACTTCATGGTGTTCTATTTTCATGAAGATATTTTTAGACCTGGGTCGATCTGCAAGTGAAACACAAATCGTTAAAAAAGAAAATTTGCATCATAATTCCAAGTGAAGAATTTAATCTTCTGATCTGAGGTAGAAGTTGTTTATATTGTTTACGTCAACCCTTCTCAGTGATAGACGCACGCGGAAAGTGTGATAGGCCATTCATAATGAAAGCAATTCGGAATGTTAAAACAAATCATTAAAGAGTATTTAAAGAGTAATTTTACTCAGGGCGAAAGCGACACCATGCAAGAAAGCGCTAACTTCATTTTACGATCCCAGGTCGGATGTGTGAAATCCACAAAGATTACTTTGATATTACTGTCCTCTTTCGACTGAAGGAGGCAAAAAGCAATTATAGTTTTTTACGACATCTCCTTTCAAATTACAATAATCCGAAAATCCACATTAGTCGAAACTTCGTTCCGCAAGGCGACGAGTGTTAGGTCGTGAGTCGAGAATACTAAAAAGTGTCACCATTTTCAGTCTTGTAACTCAGAACTTATGCTTTTGTGATTTTGGCATTAGCAGTGTAACTGGCGTTTAAATTTTGTTCAACCATCTGCTCGCGACCAAGACATAGCAAGCGAGAAAAAACGGTTGGAAAAACAAAATTTTCTTCCATGATTTTAAATCACGGAAATATAGAAGTTAAAAAATCTTTCTCAGGCTCGAAGCCTAGTAATCCATGTTTAATGTGTGTTATTAAGACACAAGACGACCAATTAATAACTGCTTTTTAACTTCAAACGACAATCAGTGGCTCAGCAGAGAATACTTCATCAAGCGAACAAAGCTGCCTTGATGATGCAAACAAATTTGTGCCGCCAAGGAGCAAAATTCTGAATAATACCGCCTGGGTAAGGATTTTTTTCGCTAATCCTGTACTGATCGACTGCCTTTGTTTCTTATTTTACTTACTTCTCGCATTTTAAGGAAGGAAAAGTAATTATTAGTTTTAAGAGAGTTTTATCGGACGTTCTTGAATGACGTCGTTAAGATAAATTTGTCAAGATTTACAGCCGCTTTACGACGATGTGGGAGTCACTTAATTATTATTACCAAGGGTTCATTTATTGTAATGAGTGTGATGAGTGCGTACTTTACATGTCTTTTGTTCGGTTTTGTATAAAGGGCAGCTTCGATTCAAAAAACACAACCAACACAATTGTAGTAAACAGTAGAGTCAAAGCCGTCAAGCGAAAGCATCACATCTTTTCTAAACGACACTGAAGAAATCATGCAGAAAAAGCTAGCAATTTTCCTTGTCATCGCGTTGGTAATCGCCGTAGCTAACTTTCCAACTGTTCAAGGATTTACGGCAGGTACTGGCTCGTGGAAAAGAGCCCTGGAGGTGCGTCGGACTGTGTTTCTTGTTTCCATTTCTTTTTTTACTAAAGCGCTAACCGGTCAACTAGTTGACTTGAGCCGTGTATTTTCTATGACAGCTCTCTAAAATTATTACTTTGTAAGGACCTCGTTGTAAGATACTCAGTAAATTTTATTATGATTCCAAGATAAAGAAGCGAAAAACGCTACGTAGGTTGGGACAAGTTTTTCTTGGAGCAGAGCTGAGTAATTGAAAGGAAAACCAAACAAAAGATGACATGTTTTCTCTCAATCATGCCAATTACAGTGATTTTGCCTTACTTGGATCAGTCGGCCTCAGTTAAACTCAACTGAAAATGTTTTGCCAGTAGAAAATGCCTTAAATGTTAAAAAAACACATTTTTCTGAGCGCGACACTCAACAGGGTTTAATGTTTAATTAAAAACCGAAGATTTGAGCCTCACAGTGATGTGAGAAATACTTCGGAGATAACAGTCCACATACTTGTACTGTTTGTGTAACAAAAACAGACCGATGATAACGTCTGTGTGCTTGTACGAATCGCTCAGATCAGCGAAAAACGTAAATTTGTTCCATTCTGTTTGACATAAATTTAGGATATCTGGACAGATCAGCGTGTACTTAGCGTTGCCCAAGACGTTGTGAAACTTAGCAAGTCGAGGCTTTAATTTTTAACTGGTTTAAACTAAAAAACGTTTCGCGGTAAAAGAAATAAGCTTGCCCACGAATGCAATTAAAGCGTAATCAAACAGTAGCGGCCATGCATTGAAAAAGTAACTTGTGTGTAGATAAGAAGCTGTAAATCATACATTTTTCTTTCTCTTTTATATTGGAAAACCTTTCATATTTCAAAACCCAAGGTTGAGATTAAAACAACGACTTTTTGGCTTTCATTACAAATTGACTATTCGTCCTTTTTTTGTAAACCCTTTGTAAAACAATAAACGGTCGCTCAGGTGAAAACTTGATTGAAATAAAAATCAGTTAATGTATTCTTAGAAAGTTTTCCTGAAGATAAATCATGCAAAGCGTAAAACATACACCAATGGATTAAATAATTACTTGGTAGACAGAAATAAGCAACTACCTCTGTGCTTGACTACCAATGCAAAGCACCCTTTTTGCAATATACAAAAAAGATTTTCAGTTCTTGTTTACAAAATGTAGATTCTATTGTCAACGACAAGACAAAACACATTCGTGAGATCAATCATGGACCAATAACAAATAATGTGGCCCAAATCTTTTCTCTTTTTTTACTTTAACAGCCAGTATTAAGCAAAATGTCTTAATTAAAAGTACTTTAGCAAAAACCCACAGCACAGGTTTTGAAATAGCATTTGTTTTGCTTTGATTTTAGTTTATTCAATATGTGCTGTTAGCTGTATCACAGGGATGAATTAGACGCTACTCAACAAAGTCCAATAGTTTAACCCTGACGGTATGAACAGTACAGGTTTGAAACTTTGCTGAGTAAGGCAAACTACCCAGTGAAGGTCTGTTCTTTAACAACTCGATTTGATAACACAACAGAACATGTATCAGTGTTCGACTCTGCTAAGCAGTCATGTTCCTCTTTCTTATTTTCACGGTTATTCCGTAGTTGTTGTGAGATTTTCATTTTGTGTAAAAACGATTCATCTCATTCTTTTTTTTTTGTATTCTGATGGTCATGTTAACCTGTGTCGCTCTTTTTTTGTTCCTACCAAGTTAATCTAAAGCAAATTTGCGTTGTCGTCGCAATTTACATGTCAAGAACACGTCAAGTTTTGCGTTCATCCGGCATATCCTAGCAACAGCATTATTCCTAACAAAAGAGAAAATTCGTAGTAAAAGTAATAGCAATAACAACACTAAAAACACATTAACAAAGCAGATTACTCCTTTCAATTTAGTAAGTGTTGGTAATTTGTGGTTGTTGATCAGCAAAAACAATACCACAGGAAAGTACTGCTTAAAAGCTTTCATTTAAATGGCCGCAAGCCAGAATTTTATCCAGAGACTTAAAAGTTAGAGTTACCTAGTACAGCGGCATGATAAACGGTGCTACAAGAAGATTCTGCTCTATAGCTTTCATTTGAGTGGTCACATACCTGGATTTTATCCACAGGCTTACAAGTTAGAACCACCTTGTAAAGCATTACAGTACCACATGAAAGTGCTGCTCAATAGCTTTCATTTGAATGGTCACACGCGATGGTTTAATCCACAGACTTTAAAACGAATTTGTACAGCATTATATTAGGAAACTAATACTATTACATCATTGTAAACAGAAAGTACTGCTCGACAGCTTTCACCATAATCAAACAACGTTATTGAGAGTCACTTGTTCTGCATAATAAAAGTTACATGAGTTCTGATAACAATATTATTGCTAGTGGAACATTTCTACATGAAAAATGCCTGGAGTGTTGACATTCTAAATTTAATGCCACATCTGAATAGGTTTTATACGTATTATGTCCGGAAAATGCTCAAAATTCACCTGTAAGCCTCGCTTGCGTGCAATAGACCTTTTTAGCTTGGGCGGTTTGTTTTCCAATTACAGGCCACGTGATATTCTCTAGACAATTGTCCTTTTATCCATCTTAAAATTCTTCATTCATATTCGCGCCACTGTTTGAAAATTTGAAAGCAAGAAATAGGGCAACAAACCGCCCAAGCTAAAAAGGTCTATCATTCTTTTAAGGGCTTTGCCGCCAGTTCAGTCATTGTAAATAGTGTCTCCAATTATTTTTTTTTTTAAACTAAATGCCATCGACACTCAAAGAGCGTTGGGATTTTCGGTTTTGCGGATTTCGCCGATTTTTGGTTCGGTTTTTCGGTTTTCGCACTTAAAAACTGCGGTTTTTCGGTTTTGGTGTCTAGTGCGGTTTGCGGGTTTTCTCCAATTTAGTCTTTGGTTTTCGGTTTTTGTCAACAATAATGGCGGTTTCTCGGAATTTTTCCGTCCAATGTATTCTATGGTTTTTCTGGTTTTGCCATGGAAGTTACATCCTGGAGTCGCGCTAAACTGTAATCCTCCAGAGGAAAAAAGATGGCGACTGATGCATCTACCCATAATTCTTAGCGCACAAAAACCTTAACAACGTTCATAGAAACGTGCAGAAACGTTGTAAAATCTTCAAACCTAGGCTACTCAATGTCCTTAGCACAGGGAAAAATATTGTAAAATTTGGCTTTCTTTGTGCCTTATAGGCTACTTTAGGTTCGCAAGGCATTGTGGTAAAATGTACAGCCGCCCTCTTTTTTCCTACGGAGGAATCCAACGGGCCTCTTATAAGCTTTGTACCTGGACTTTCTCTTAGAGGAATGCATGACAAGCCTAAACTCTTTAACAGCCGTTATTTGGGTCGTAACGGCTGCCAAGCAGAGGCTAAAGGCTAAAGATAACATCAAAGCAAAAGACTGTTTCACATATAATCACGCAGCTGGGATGATCTTATTGCTCGATTGCGAGTTGTTTCTCCTTTTCGTGGCGGAAATAACATTGCGCGCACTCGCTCCGCTCACGTGTAATAACAGCAAACTATAGACGGTTAGTTTGGTTGTAAAATAAAGTAGTTTGGTTGTAAAATACGGCTGCCATCGTGCCTACGCAAATGAAAATTCTTACAATGGCAATCAAAAAACAAGTTCAGAATGTCGTGTTTCTTTTAAACAAAAATTATCTAAAATTATTTTACCGTGCAATTTTTTCTAGTCTCGTATTGCTGTAGGTCTGTTGAGCCGATTTACAAACAAATAAGCAATTTTTTAGACCACGAAGAATTCTGTACTAACGAGGGAAGACGCCGAAAGAACTTCGGAAAGTACAAAAAGTACGTTTAGACATATAAAAATCAAATAACAGAAAGAGAGATTCTGAAGCCTACCAAAGCTTTGTCAGTGAGGGCTTTTATTTCGGTTTTCGGTTTTCCGGTTTTGGCTTGACTAATCTCTTGTTTCAATATCATATTTTATTTTGAGCCCTGACAACCATTGTGCTACATGTTTGTATTTCCTCACAACAGAGTGACTGCTGTAGCTTATATTTTTTGGGCAAAATGTAAATATCCTTTCTAGATTGACCAGTTTCAAACGCTTTTATTGAAGGTAAGTTGAAGAAACCATAACTGGAACACGTTTCTCTTTCTCTTGCAGGTGATGAAGGAAAAAAGAAGCATGTGTCATGCGATGAGAGAATACTGCAAACGAGAGTTTATGGAAGACGAAGAAGCGCCCGCGCCTTTGAAGGAGTAAAATCATGTCCAGCGGCTGACTTGTTACGTCATGTAATACATATACAACTGAACAGCAAACTTTTCCAAAAGCACAGATGAAGATATCTGATTTAACTGTAAAGTTTGGCACATGTAATAAAAGAAAATAAGCACTGAGACAGTCTGACGTGTGCGAGTCTTTGTCATTAGACTATCAAAGCAATGCCAGTGTATTTTCCGTTTACTTTTACTCTCCAAAACTCTGATAATACGCCCACAAACCTGAAAAACAGGAAACCTTCCGGTCTGACAATCCTTTATTGAAAGCCTTTGGCCGTATCGCTTAGACCTGGAGAGCAATATCATTTCATTGATTTTAAGTCGCCAGCAATTTAAAAGCGTTTCTTTTTTTGTTTAAATAGCACTAGAGTATGTTCAGGGACTTTCAATGTGCACATGATGTCTGTTGAATCGAGCTGTCGTTTTGTGTTCCATATCGATATCTTGAAAACCTGTTACTTTGCAGCAATCTTAACCGTCTTAATATAGCCTCAACCGTTTTAAAAGGGCCAAATTCCCTCCGACGATAAACCTTTCCCGAAGCTAAGTCAAGACTTGTGATCAATAGCCAGCGTTGTAGACGGAAATTTAATGCTGTATCTTGGCACAGTGTTCGCGACGCAGGCTTGCGATCAAAGGTAAACGGAAGGTTTATTGTCAGAGAGCTATGAGTAAATCAGTACAAAAAGCGAGGAGATTCCCCTAAGGAAATTTCAGTCGGCATGTCTCACTTTCATTCTTTCGTCAAACCCTTTATTGTTAAGGACACAAAAAAGCGTGGTTAAAATGACCTGATTTTTATTTTCTGTTAGCTCGCGTGCATCACGGGTTCTTACCAACTTACAGGACCGTTACAACAGATACTGATTGTATCGGGGAATTACTAAAGTCTGTACGATAGTCAGGGTAGTAATTGTTGTAATATCTTTGTTAATGACTACAAACCCATGATATACTTAAGGTTTATAAAGCACAACAACTTTCAAAGGTGAAAATGCCCTTGCTGGCTTTTTGTTGTTTGAAAACTTAATTGTGTAACAGCCAGTGAACAGTTAAACTTAGTGACTATAAACTTGACATGTTGTGGAAGTTTCGGGTCAGAATACAATTAATTTACCATCATGGTAGGTTTCTTACTCTCTCTATTATAATGTTCAGCCGCGATAAGTAAACATCGGCCGCGCCTAGTGGTTTTATCTGATTGCCACTTAAGAGAAGAAAAAGGGGGAAACATAGAGGACATTTAATCTATTTTTTCAGGTGGTTTTTCAAAAATGCTTTTGTTTTTCCTGCACACTTCCTTGTGTTTGTAAGATAACAAGTAAACAGCGATAAAATTAGGTCTTGTTTGAGTTGCTTACCCCGCTTAAAAGCCGTTCGCGTGATTATTTCGTAATAAACTGTTCATTAAAAACCAGATGGTGAACCGGCTCATTTTCCACACAAACGTAACCTCAAAAATATACCCAAGATATTTTACCAACGGGAGACAAGATACAACAGATTTAACTTTGGAGAGTCGTCTTTTAATTCGGTACAAAAAATGTCAATTGTATTTTGGCAGAAAGAAATGGCAGGGAAACAGGCCATATGTCGTGACAATGCGTGCCAAATTGTTTGAGTGACGCTACTGAATACTTGACGGACCTTTGTAGAGATAACGTTGTCAGAATAGAACAATTGTGCAATTATCAAAATTGTCCACGACATTTCGTTTTAGAACAATCTTAACCCTTTCTTTGATTCAACCGAAAATACATTTGTCGGAATCTATGGGAAACGGAAATCTGGATAATGGAAATGTAAAAAAGTTGTTCGCGTTTCATTGTACTATAAGCTGATATCTTTGTTTGATGTACTGAATTTGCGGAAAGACCTGCCAGCGGAGACCAAAAAGATACGGCAGCGGGAAAAATCGACTTACCGGCTTTAACATTTGACACATTCGAAGCAAAAGTGTAAGAATAAAGACAAACGGCAGCTAAGGACATTGTCTATGCATCCATGATCAGTTAAAACAGGTTCGCGTAACTAACGCTGATTCAAACTGACGTTAGGAGTGACTAAGGGAAATGTTTGTTCCGATATTGGTACCAAAAGAAAATTAAACGTTATTTATTTCAAGTTATTGCGTTATTTTCAAAAAGGTACTGATTTGCACGTGAATGTGAAATACACATTCAAAATGTTGTTGACACCGTTGTAAGTGTACCATACAGATGAGTAAACTTTGTCCATTTCTTTCTTGCTTTGCTGATTCGCAAAAAAAAAAAACAATGCTCACATTTAAATATTTTTTCGGAAGTTACCGGCAAACAAACAGTTTTCCACGACAATTTTTTTCTTGGTGACACAGGCTAAGTGGCAGGATGTCAATTTTTACTGTCTACTCTGAAATAAAGGAAATTATAAGTGGCAACATTAAATCCTTCGGATGTGAGATGGAAACAGATAAATCGAGCACGCAAAGCTAAGCGTCATTTCATGGCCGGATGCAACGTTTGCCGTCAATATATACAGTTGACATTGTATCAACGTCTTTTTATTTACAAGTTCTAATTCGTAGATAGAAGGCGACACTCGCCTATATAAACCTCTAAGTCGACCAACCTTGAACAATCAAACACAGCTATTGATCTTAACGTTTTCCAAGACCAGAGAAAAGCAAAGAAGGATGAGAAAAGGAGGCACCTTTAGATTTTTTGTGCTAGCGGTTCTGTTTTCCGCCCTTGTGGTCCTCGGACCATGCGAAGGATTTAACGGGGGTACTGGGAACTGGGATACAAGACGAATGGTAAGTATTGAATCCATCTAAATAAGCAGTTTATGTCAGTGAACTATGGCGAATATTATAACGCCACTTAAATGTTTCGTACGTCACACTTTTAAAAGAACGAAAGCTCAATCCAAAAATATTTCTAAAGAGAAACTTTTCTCTCTCAGCACCTCTCTCCACCCGCTGTATCAGCGGATCGGGACGAACTCTTCGAGTAGCCTGCAAAATTATATAGTAGTTATGTATTTAGCTATTCCGACTTCACGCTTTCACCAAATCGTGGTTTATCGATCCTTAGCCGGCAATAAAACAGTGTTTGCTAATTGCTGTGTTTGGAAACTTCCAATAACTTACTTTGAAACAGAAATAAATTAAAAGAGCTAGGTCATCCAATTGTAGGCAATTTCAGCATTGACTGAATGGTCATAGAATCGATCAAAATAACGCGTAATATCGGTCTCAAAGCACAGAAGAAACAGAACGAAGCCAAATATCTACATGAGTACGCAACCTACTTTAACTTAGTTGTGTTTTCATTATATAACAAAAATATATATATGTGAACCGTGTGGAAACATTGCTTGCAATTTGCCTGCACCTGTTTATGAATCAGAAGTGAATAATTTTCGCTGGTCCTAATTTACTCAGTTTTACAAGAATACTAAAATTGAAGCTATTGAAACGTTGCACTGATTTTTTTTCTTTTTTTAATTCAATTGCTTCTTGTATATAAATATTTGTAGTGCTTTTAAAACAGAAGATTTAAGACACTGTATTGAAAATCCTAACTTGTTGCGAAGGCAACGATTTTGTGTTTGAAGTTCTCAAAATGTATTTAAGTAAATCTTGAAACGTCGCCGGCAATTTTATTCGCGTAGGCGCAAGCTCTCATACAAATACTGGAAAAAGCAAAGTTTTGGCACCGCTATTGCAAATATATATTTGGCATACATTTGTTGACTCTTTCCTCATTTCAAATGTATGTATAAAAATAGCTTTTTAATGAAACAACACAGGCTTCAGTTTAAGAGCTATTGGGCGTTCAGACTAAAACGAAGGAAAAGGTGTTGAATAATAAAAACGAATTAATTTAACTTCTGACGTTTTTCAGAACATTCCGTGGCTTTATTTTCTTTTAAATAGATAAATGAATAAGCAGATTTGAGATAAAGCAATTTCCCTCCAAACGGTGAACGTTAACTGGTATGAAGAGAAAGTAAAAGCCGTTATTTTAATTTGTGCTGTTTTTTATATAACATGAAGCACATTCTCCTAAGAAATAAACAAAGTGCTCCAGGTATACAAGCATTCCTTCTAAATTACTACACAGAGGTTCCATTCACTTCTCCAAATAACTTTGTACGCATGCAAATTACAGCAGATATAGCAATGTATTCTAGCCTTTCTGCTCCTTGACTTTCTGGAAAGAGGTCCTTAAAAAGTGCCTTGATAATCTATTAATTTTACTAGCTTTGGATTTAGAATTTTTAATAGGGATGCGGCGGTTTACCTGTATCTCTCTCTCTCTCTCTCTCTCTCTCTCTCTCTCTCTCTCTTGGGATGTGAAAGTAATTGGACTTTGATTAACTGATGGAATAAAACTGATTGAAAATGCGTCCCAGCTCTTCGATCCGTGGTAGAAAGAAGCTACTCGCGATCTGTTTTCAGAAACAAGCGGGTTTATTCGTGTAAGTTAATGTGCTTTTATTTTTTGGCGAAGTTTCCTCTGCTTTTTTCACATTTGTTGGTTTGTCAGTCCTAATGACGCTTAGGAAATTAAAATCCTTACAATGGATTTTATGTAATAATCTAGGTAAATAACGTGTAAGGCAAGTAAATCTTTTAATTTCCTTTCACTGCACTAGAGGCCTCGGAAATGGAGTTAACATTAATAAAATGGACAAATATATGTGCCAAAAAGAATACCATTTAGAAACCACGTGGTGAAATTAACATCACAAGAAAAGTGGTCGGAAATAGGGCTTACTAAACTTTTAATGCACTAAATACCAAGTTTATCAATACCGTTCAATAAGTTTCGCTCGGTAAGCCTTTATCATGAAAGTTCGGGTTTTAAAATGCCGTAAGCTAGTAATTCGCTTGGTCAAAAAAATGTTAAACGTAGAGGATTTGTAAACAAACTGTTAATCAGAATTAAACTCTGTCGTAGTGGAAAAAAGTACGTCTCAAGTTTCTTTCACTTGGCCATTAAAATGCGGCTTAATCAGAGCACTGCAAATAAAATGGTTCCTTGATTACTTTATAGTTAACAAACTATTGATAGATTTTCCGTTTATTTACAAGTCTGTGTCATTAACGGAACTCCGCATTGATTGCATTTTCGAAGGAAAGCTGTAGTTAAGTGTCTATAAAATGCAATAGCTTTAAAGCGCTCATCAGTAGCATCGCAAACTCTTGCAAAGTCTTCCAATCGATACCGACTGAATTATGAAGAAGGGAATCGCAACAGCGTTTTTTCTCTCGATCCTCGTTCTAGCTGCAATGTATCTTCCCTTGTGCCAGAGCTTCAGCGCAAAGACCCCATTCAAAAGAGATCAACTACAGGTTTTACTGACTTCATCTTTCATTTTTCTAATTTTTCGACGGTATAGTATATTCTTTTATTTGCCTCTTTCAACCTGGCTGCATGCGGCTCAAGTAGTAAAGCACCAGATTGCTACGACGAAAAATCTCAGATATATTACATTGCTCTCATGACGGTTTATTCCAAACAATTGTAAAAAAAAATAATCGTGCACAGGTTTCTTGGAAAGGCCTAAAAAATAATTTGCGGTACAGTATTAACTCTCTAGACCGAAATATGGCGGATAAAGTTGTGACCTGTTATTAGTGTACGAAATTTATCGTGAGAACTTTAATTTTTGCAACTTCAAATCAGTTATATAAGCAAACTTCTTAGGCTCTTTCTCAGACCCTCAGGTAAACTCAAATAAGTGATTATTGTGTAATCGTGTGTTGCACCGCAGCGAGCTTGTTAAGCTTGGCAAAGGGTTTCCAAGTTTTCGTTAGGTTTTTTGTTTCTTTTTTTTTTCTGGTTGGACTATTGTTGCTTAAATTTATATTATTTTTTTACTGAACAGTAAATTTCGTCCATAGGTACTTTCAATCGCCGGGATGCCAACCCGGCCTTCCGTGACACTAATAGAAATGTTCGTCAAGGGTTCAAAATGCGTATCCTCTGAGAAAAGTAAAAAAAAACAAACAAACAAACAAAAAACATTTCATGCGGCAGAAGGCACCCAATCGCCTTGGTACCTTGTAGAAATAACACACTTACAAAACAGAAATTCTTCTATTTCAGAGTAGATTCTTTTTAAAATTACCACGACCATCCTTCCTCTCTACTAAGTTTTTTCATGCTCTGCAATCTTTTCTAACATTTTCATTGATTTGTCTTAATCTCTCGAGGCAAATAAACGTGCACTGGATAGCATGTGCAGAGTGGCGAGGGAACATTGCAAACGGGAGATCTTACAAGACGATGACTTCGCTATTCCTGGTCCTCGTCCAGTCCAGTGAAAGGAAAACACGGTGCAGTCAAGATTACAGACACAAGATCTTAAAAGAAACATCAACCCAACTGTTATTATTAATAATCTTTACACTGATGACAACGTAACTTGACAAACTCGTAAATGACATAGTTTGAACTTATACATAGAAGTCACTATTACAATAAAGATCAGAGCAAAGCAACACAAGATTGATCATGATTTTACTTCTCTTTCATTGTTCATGCATTGCCAAGCAGATCGGTGCACGTGATAGATTTAGACATGATAAAAAAATTCAAATACATATATGCTCCTCATGTATCGCCAAATTCTCAGAAATGACATGAGTAAGAAGTGTAAGAAAACGGATAGGGAGAGTTAGTATTTTCAACTTAAAATTGAACGTGTTCAAAAGCTGCCATCTAAAAAGGTGTCACTTCAGTACGTTGAAATCACTTGCGAGTCTATTGGGTGAAAGACTGTAATAAACTTCGTATTAGATGAATTAAACTGGATGGTCGAGCAACAATGGGAGGCGAGTAGCCCAGCAATTTCGACTGTGAATGCGCCAGGCTTAGGTTTGCAGGCGTTTTGAAGCATGTTTTGGAGTCCTACCTGAATCCTATCACGTGTAGCAAAAAGTGTTTCGGCCATGTAGGGAATGGCTATGTACAAGCAATTGCTTCAGCGGAAAGCTTGATATTTCTAGGTTCAGCATCATTAAAATACATTTTTGACTCGAAACATACAAAAGAGAACAAGACATACACAACATACAAAGAGAACGAGAATTTATTATAGTAATCTTAATAGAACATTTTCACTCACGTGGCTAGCATACATGTTACTTTATTGGAACAAAAGGACTGAGTTTTTACAGAAGAAAAGAGGTCAACTCCCACGCCAACGCTCTATCAGTTTAAGTTAAATTGCAGTTGCCATCGTTGTTTAGCGAAATGACAAAGAAAGCATTGTCTAAAAGTGATTCGTTCTTGGTGCTTTTAAACTTATCTTTTCTACCTACTACAACACGTGCGCCGCCACATCTGTTTTTCATGCGCGAGACGAGTTAGGGTGGAGAAGAAATGGCGGGTGCTTTAAGATGCTTTGCCAAAGAGATGCTATTTTTTTTCCTCACTTGTTTTCTCAAACGCCATACATATATATTCATAAGACGTTTTGAAAGACTGATGAAAGGGACTTTTAATGGTAAATTTCCATTTGTCCGTTTGACTATATATGGATTATCATAATCCGTAATCGACGAGCTAAACCAGAGTAGCTCGACTTACTACAGTCTAGACCCTTTCAACCGGTTAAACCGAAATTAAATCGATCTGACTGACAAGAGAAAAACCGTCTCAAGAAAAGAACAGAAAAGTTTGTAACGTGAGATAAATATAAGCGCTTCTTTATAGAAAATCCCATGTACTAACTGGTTTCCTGGTTTTGGTAAAATACAACAATATACTTGACTGTCCTAAAACTCTCAGGAAATGCTTAATCAAAGAAAGTCCCATAGATTACTGTCCCTATTCACAACCTGAGGAGACTAAAGATCTCTTTTAAGCTTCAGTTTTAGTTATGATCTTAAGCTTTTTCTATCGTTCTTTGATTGAAATGTTTTAAAATAAACCTTTCCCACTTTAATACGTTAAAGGAAGAGTTGACAAACCCCATCAAAAGTCAATCGAAATGTCTGACAAAGTCACCTGTTCAGTGTTTAACATAAATGGTATTGAAACTTATATCGACTATCACTGAGACAACCCAAGTCAATGGTTATAATAATGAAAATTTTCCTTTTCTGTTCGTTTTTTGTTATTTTTCTGGCGATGACTGTGTTTCTAGCTCTTGAAAGTGACGGATTTACAGCAGGAATGGGAGCGAATATTCCTGGCAGGAAAAGAAGTGAATTAAAGGTGAGAGATACATGAGTTACTCGGAAATCAGTGGAAACATCGATCTCGTTTATGTTATCTTTTTTTCTATTTATAATTCGGACAGGTTTATTTCCTCAGACTCTACTGAGAGATTTTATCAGATTTGTACCAATTTTAACGACTGCTTGCGCGAGTCGCATGAATTAAGTAATTACAATTTTTGGGCGTGAAAAGCAAATGTCCATTTACTGGCGCGCGCGATCGGCGGAGCGTAATCTACTTATGATCCTTAAGACAAACTACAAAAAAGGCCTAGCTCAAATAGAACTGTCTCATTTACTGTGCCCTTTTTAATCATTCTTGCTCAAACAGACTTTGCTGAAGCCATGTCATATACTTCGTGAATACTGCCAAGTCAGATCGGAACTAAACAACGGAAAGCATAGAGATCAAGCGTTGCTGTCTCCGCTTACGAAATCCAGGAGAGCCTATCAAATAAAACAATAAGTAAAGAAGGAACTAAATAGATATTATTAAGCGCAAAGGAGACTCCGTCGGAAAATGACTGTAGAGAAGTTGTCAGGGGATTCCAAAAATTGCGGGAACATCATTGATAAGTCCCTGCCAGCCTTCTTTACAGAGACACAAACGACCCTGTCAGTTATGAGCCTCGAGGTGTATTTATATTTTACATAGTCTTTACTCTTAATTCTTGTGATATATCTACATGTACGATATTGAAATAAAGTTATCTCTGGTATCTGCTTTAGTCTGTCTTATCTTATCTTATATAAATCTAAAGCAGCTGTCATTGGAAATAACAGAAGCCTAGTCAGTTCTTCACTCAATTTCTCCTAACATTGAAGCTGATAGTTTGTGTTTTCCCTCTGATGTGCCAGTCTTTTGGGTTTGTGGGGCAGTTGTTCGTCGAACTCGATTGTTTACAAACGTTTTCGTTGCGCAACGAAAGCATGTTGTGGTCGTCTTAAAAAAATAGTTTTTTTCTGATAAAAACAAGTTGTATGCCCCTTTTCGTCGACCTTTCATATTTATAAAGCTTAACTGAAGCACATAGAATTATGGAATAATTCTAAACAAAATCATATGGGTCGTTTTGTGTTTGATGAAGCTTCAGTAGTTGTTACAGTAGCCTCCGTTGTTTTTCTGCTGCTAATTTTCAATTAATCAATCAGGCAATCAATCAATCGCTTTATTAACGTGGTCAAAAATACAAAATACAAAAAACGTCATTGGAAGTGTATAAAGTTAAGATGAACAACAATTAAAAATGAATTACAAATTAAGATAGTTTGGTTACAATCATAGCGTAAAATGTAAAATTGTCATAAAAATTGTCACACATCTCACTCGCTCATAGTCCCGTGGGATTTATTGTTTTTGAATTGTTCTAAAAAGCTATATATGTTTAAATCCTCCTGGTTTCGTCTACTACAGAATTCCACGATTGCGATGCAGTGTATCCCCAAGATCTTTGATCCGGCTGTACTGGGCGATGCCAGGAGTTCCGTTTTTACGTGCTTTGTTTTTACGAATATTTTTATTTTGCTTCCTTTCCATGGCCTTACACTGAAGAATTATTTTAGCCAAAATAAACTGTCAATGAACAAAAGCAATGTTTGATTGGTTGGCGGGCCTCCTTTGCTAGTGTGAGTCCTGATCGCGGCCTAGTCCAGTTCCCAAACCTTCCCTCCACCCCCCTCCTCCCAATCCCTGCGCTACATGTACAATGTATGAATGTAGTAGTAGCGCTATCCACCGGATAAGTAAACCCCAGTGAATAGTTGCAGTTAAGTTTAGTTTACCAATACTTATCCACTGGATATTGATTTATCCAGATAATACAATACAATACAATACAATACAATACAATACAATACAATACAATACAATACAATACAATACAATACAATACAATACAATACAATACAATACATCAATTTATATAGCGCTTATTTCCATAGCTCAATGGCGCTTTAAAATGTTTGCAATCAAAATTAAAACCACTTCTACTTAAATTGCAATATCATCATATATACGAATTAAAAAATGAAAAAGTTCCAGTAAAAAAAAAAATGTAACTAATTGCACCATAACGGTTTAAAATGTTTTACTGATCAAATTGCTGCCACTTAAAATTACAATATCATGTGAAGTATATATGAAATAATTCATATTTGAACTGCGGTTGTAGATGAAAGTGAAGAATGATCATCGCAGTAAATTGACCTCGCTCCCAATGTGTGGCTTCATAGCTCAGTTGATAGAGCATTGCACTGGTATCGCGGAAGTCACGGGTTCGAATCCCGTTGAAGCCCTGATTTTTTTCAGGCTTCTTCTTTCCAATTGCTTAAATTGGAAAATTTACTGCGATGATCATTCTTCACCTTCCTTTAAAATTACAATATCATTATAAAAGTTAAAGATTAAAAAAATGTTCAATAAAACAAAGACGCACCTAACCGCACCAGTGTGTCTCTTGGTATCTCTTAATCTTATTCTTTTTCTTGCGATGAACTAGATCTGAGATTGGCTGGGAGTGAGTTCCAAAGTTTGGGAGCGGCAACTTTAAAAGCTCTATCACCGTACGTTTTCAGATTAGACTTTCGTATCACTAGCAGATTTTTTGAGGAAGATCTTAGATTCCTGTTAGGTTGATTAGGTTGAAGAAGATCAGCCAGTTATTTCGGTGCCATGCCGTTCAATGCTTTATATGTAATGAGTAGAATCTTGCATGTTATCCGTTGTCTAATAGGTAACCAGTGCAGTCGACGTAGAACAGGTGTTATATGCTCAGTACTTTTAGGGACTGTTTACATTGAGGGAGGGTGCCCCGGCTAACCGGGCTACTCGGCTAGAGGGATTGACACATAGCCCGCCTTTACATCCAACTCACTTAACCGGGACAATGAGTGGGCTGCGTGGGCTATCTTTTGAGTGGCCGCTAAGCACAACAAACAAAATGGCCGACCAAAGAAATTATTTGACATCTTATTTCAGCTTCCTGCACGGGCACGGGTCTGTTCTCTGCCTGAGGCTCATCTATTACATTGATCTCTTCAGATTGACTGTCATTCTGTTCGGCAGATAACACTGGCAAATGGTAACTACGAAAAAATTCACCTCGTGCCGCCATGTTTTTGCGGTTTATCTCACCTCGGCTAGCCGGGATAGCCCGTCACAAACCGTTTACATGGTAAAAAGCTATCCCGCCTAGCCGGGTGCCCCGGGTAGGCGAGCTACCCTGTCTAGCATATAAACGCTTCAACGCGTTTTCTAAAGAAACGAACGAGAAGTTAGCCCTCC